CATTTAAAGATTTTAGTAATGGTGTGAGCACTTAAATTTAAAGGTGAAACTACCTAAGAAAAGTTAGCCCTATTTTTTTTTAAAAAAGAGTTTATTTATTTGTCAGAGAAAGAGGGCAAAAGCAGAGGGAACAGCAGGCAGAGGGAGAAACACGCTCCTCCCTAAGAAAGGAGCCCAATGCGGGATTCGATCCCAGGATCCGGGATCATGACCTGAGCCGAAGGCAGACACTTAACTAACTGAACCTTCCGGCATCCCAAAATTAGCTTTATTTTTAAAAAACAAAAGATTTCTACTTTGAAAACCAAAGCACAATTCTTTTGCAATGTTTAATGGTTTTCCATAAGGAAACCTGCTTCGATCTAGCAAAAACATTAGATTAAAATTTTGTAAAAATCAGGTGCTAATTCACAGATATTGCCTAATATAATAACTATTCTGATATATTTTGAACCTTATGAGACTCCAAGACTCAGAAAAATGTATGAAAAACTCTAAAGACAATATATAAAGGAATTCTATAAAAACAAGCAGAAATAACATAGTAGAGCATACCTAAAATAAGTACTTACCAGAAACATTAAAAAGAGAATATATTTTAAAAGGAAAAAAAGTTAGATTGCAAACAGAGTTTATGTCCAAGATACTGCAATCGATAAACCAGAGATTAAAAGGCATATTTGACAGAAATGTTGTGGTTCCAAATATTCCAGAAAGCTCACATCCCAATAGCTTTTTTTCTTTACTTTGCAACTGTGAAGTGCTTTTAGAGTTCTGAATCACTCCTAGGCACTAAGTTCTCAAGCCTAAAATTGTAACTCCTCAAAAATCTGTATTATTGGAGTCTAGTTAAAATACATATGCTTGTCTTCTAAAAAACAAAGAACAAAAAACCCAGCCAAACTTAACTGTAACTTGTAATTGGAAAAATATACAGATACATTTACTTACTTAATGGAACACTTTGTATTTCCAGATATAAAAGCACAACAGTACAAAGTTACAGTAACCAAAATCTAGTAGCAACATCAGAATAGGCAAATAGGGAAAATCTTAAAAAAAAAACAACAACAACAAAAAAAAACAAGCATGTAAAGTATTCCAATTCTTTTTTAAATTTTATTTTCTTTTTAAGATTTTATTTATTTGTTTGAGAGTGAGTGAGTGAGAGCATGAGAGAGGAGAAGGTCAAAGGGAGAAGCAGACTCCCCATGTACAAGGAAGCCCGATGCGGGACTCGATCCCAGGACTCCAGGATCATGATCTGAGCCGAAGGCAGTTGCCCAACCAAATGAGCCACCCAGGTGCCCCAGTATTCCAATTCTTAAATGACCCCAACAATTCTCACACAAACAGGAATTTATGATACAGAAAAATACAAGCAAACAAAGATGTATGCCAACAGCAAAAAACAAAAAACCAGGAAACAAAAGGTCTTTCAATAGAAGAATGGATAAATTACTGCACATCATTAATGAACCGTGGTTGTCCTTGGAAAAGGGGCTTTCATACTCTAAGCTATACATACCAAAAAAATTTAAATGTACAGAATAATATAATTCTACTTCTTGGAATTTATCCTAAGGAAATAACTGAGAATGCATGGAACAATTCAACTACAATGATAGATCAGAGCTTTGGTAATTAAAAAAACCCCTTAAAAGTACAAGTAATCACTTAAAGAAATGATGGCAAATTCATATAATGGGAGACGCACTGATAATTATCTTTAAATATTATTAAAGTATGCTCATTTTCACAAAAAATTCACAATATTTTTTTCAAAGGGAGATGAAATATTATGCATCTGATCTCATTTTTTAAAAGAAAAAATAAATACGCATTGAAAACCCCTGGGAAGGTTGTATACCAAAATATTAATAGGCTAAGGGGTAAAAAAAATTTTTTTTAAGCTTATTGCATATATTCTCATCAGGGGCAATGTTACTCCCATAGGGGTGAAAATTGGCTACTGAGGGGGGGGAAAAAAAAAGAAAGAAAGAAAGAAAAAGAAAGGAAAAAAAGAAAAGGAAAACTCTTAGCATATAAAAAACAAATTAACAAACAATACCTAAACATAGAGTATATCTGTGCTATTAAAATTTCATGGGGGTACAATTAAGAAAAAATTGCTAAAGACTGGGGCAGGGTAAGCAGGCAATAATGCTAAAAAGTTTGACAAACACTTCTTCATTAGTACTCTCAATTTTTCTACAATGAACCTGGTATTACTTGAGTTTGTTTTCTTTTTTAAAGATTTTATTTATTGGTCAGAGAGAGAGAAAGAAAGCAAGAGCGCGAGCAAGCACGTGCACAGGTGCGTGCAGGTGCGCACAGGGACGCGGGAGCACAATAAGTGGGGAGTGGCAGGCAGAGGTAGAAGTAGGCTCCCTGCTGAGCAGGGAGCCAGATATGGGACCTGGGATCAAGACCTGAGCTGAAGGCAGGTGCTTAACCAACTGAGTCACCCAAGTGTCCCAGTATTATGTGAGTTTGGATAGTAATATATATACACTGAACTAATTACAAAGGGATATACAATGAAAGTTGAGACACAGCATTAATTTTCATTTTTAAATATCAAATTTATTGTATAGTCCTTTAAGTCTTTAAAAATACAATACAGACTATTTGTTAAATACAATACTAAAATGAAAGTATAAAGAAAATGAGAACGTACTGCATCAGAATCATCTGGGATCATTTGGAGAAGTAAACTACAGATTCTGCAGTAAACTAAATCAAATGAAAAGTAAACTACCTTTACTAAAAAGTAATCTACATTACTACAGACCTAATAAAATCAAAATTTCTATGAATGGGGCTAGTGGCTTTTATTCAATGAGGCATACTTGTATCATCATACTGCTCCCATGGAAATATGTAATACCAATATGTTTTAATTTGGTCTAAGGGATTTTTAAAATTATGTACTGAAGTGATAAAATAAACTAAGAGCCTGGAAATCTAGAAATCCCTACTAAACTCTTTTCCTTTAAGGAACTTGAAGATTCACATTTCTTCACAAACTATCAAACACCCTATTACTCACTGTCTCTACTGGGCACAAAGCACTGTGAAGAATATAAAAGATAAAAGTAATATTTGTAAATTTTGCCACTAAAATAAACTCACTTTAGTTAAATCTGCAAATCCAGCATTAACCACTGGCTTTCTCAAGGCACCATCAGTCACAAAGAAACAGTTTCTAATCTTATGATGCAAATTAAACCAATAAGGAACAAAAGTCACTGTTGGATAATAATAACTAAGATGCAGTCAGCTACACTCAATTCTCTAGTTAATATACTTTGTTGGAACATCAGCCTTAAAATACCCAGAATTCAAAATTTTGCCTGGACCAAATTAAACATCTCCAGTGTTAAATACTATGGCTTAAAACATTAAGCCACCAATACCAAGATTTATTGCATACATAAATAATGAAACTTCCTAAGTGCATAGCTAATAGTTCTATTTAAGGGAGGAGAATACACAGAGAATAGTCAAAGTAGTAGATGCAAAGTGTCAGATACTGCTCCAGGCCATAGCAATCTTCTCCAAATTCTTCCAGACATCAATGCCACCTTTTGGTGGTGGTAATAATCCTTACAGTGGCAGCAATAATATTTAAGCACTTTCTGTATGCCAGATACACTTATTTAGTCCTCAAATACGTCTAAGAAATAGGTACTGTTCTTTTTCCATTTTACAGATGAAAAGACTGAGAAATAAGAAGAGCTGGTAGGTACTATGGCAATCTTTCACTGAGTGTTTTTCCAAATATTCTGTGAGATTTGGCACATCATCTGTATGAATAAATTAAAATCTTATAATTAAATAACTATCCATAAAAGAGCATAAAAATGAATGTAACTGAGGCAAACCTGAGTTAGAAGAATGGAACAAAAATTTTCCAAGTCATCACATCAAGTAGTACAATGCTTTTCCAGTTTTTTTCTCATTCCTTACACCCAAAAAAGGACAACTTAATTTTGCTTGTTTTGTTTTAAAGTACAGATTTTATCATTATATACAATTCCATCTCAGAATGCATCCTGTTTATTAATTCATTTATAAAGCCTTTAAACTAATTTTATCCCTTAAGACTCTTCATCTTTAAAAATTTCATTCAATTTCGGGGTGCCTGGGTGGCCCAGATGGTTGAGCATCTCCCTTTGGCTCAGGTCACGATCCCAGGGTCCTGGGATCGAGCCCCACATTGGGCTCCCTGACAGGGAGGCTTCTCCCTCTCCCTCTGCGGCTCCCCCTGCTTGTGCTCTCTAACTATCTCTGTCAAGTAAATAAATAAAAGCTTAAAAAAATAAAAAATAAAAATTTCATTAAATTTCATTTCACATTTATAATGAACTCATTTAAATTATAAAATATATGAATGATGTATAAAAATTCAGAAAATAAAGGTTCAAAGAAAAAAAATAAAGACCACCTATAACCCCAAATTGAAGATAACAACTTTAGTCTTTTGGTATTTCCTTTTAGCCTATACATGAATAGGCATTCTGTAAAACTAAGAAGTGATATTATATAAACATTAGTAATGTTTATTTCTCTCTTAACAATACAGCACTTCTTAAAAATAGTACAGACAAATACAATTATGATTGATTTTCTACAAAACATTTGGGCTTACTGGACTTAAAAAGTAGTTTGTTATACTGAGAAAATTAACCGTGGTGGAGAGGAAATGGCTGGTCCTTGAGAGAAAGAGCTCTCTCTCTTCCAAGTATTTGATTATTTTTAAAAAATCATTTTTAAATTTCACTGATTAAATAAATAAGCATTTTCTTTTCGTTACTGAAAAACTTCACACATCCATCTTCAGCACATCAAAACATCAAAAACATGGTTATGGAAGTGTTATGGCTACAAAAGATCAAAACCCAGTACATGGAACCTAAGCAGAGCCAGCTAAGAACACCACAACCACAAAGCGATGATTCTTTATATCCAGTGTCGAAGGCCTATTGCTTACATACCCATGCAAGCAGATGGTACTGAGTAGTGACACAATCTCAAGCTTGTTCTACTGACGACAGTAGTCCAAGTCTAAAGCATAACGGGAATAGCAGAATGAATACATCATCTAAAACCCCACTTCATTCAAAACTCATGGTTTTACTTGCAGATTTGGTTGGTTCTTAGAATTATAATGCTGTCATATTCCAGTGTGAAAATTATGACACTGGAGTACTATAAGAAGTCAATGAATATTTATTTAAAATTCAAAGGGATGTTTTACAATGGCATTTGTCCTAAGTGAGAAACTCTACTCAAAAGACACAAAATGTTTTCTAAGAGAGAGTACTATTTGACCAATTTTGAGTTACTCAAATTTCAACCTTACCATTTGAATGTAAAAGAAACACCATCAAAATAACCTACCATCTGAAATTCTAAACAAAGGTGGGTCTGAGACATAAGATTCACCTTCTAAACTCATTTGCCCATCGTTTTTCTTAATCTGATATTCTCAAATAATTAAATTAATAAATGTTTCACCCATAATTTTCAGATATACACATCTATAGATCTGTTACTTGACTTTATACGCAAAACAATTTCCTAAAGCATGAAAATGTCAATCAAGGAGTCATGTATGCCCTTACTAAACAGACTATATGATTAGATTAAAGAGCAGCAGAATGTACAGTAAAGCAGTCTAAAAGTTGTCATATAGGAATCTAGCAAAAAAATCCAAAATAACAAAAAGCATTTCAAGGATACCAAGAACCAAAATATCATACAAACTTACCTTTTATACACCTTTCATAACCTTAGTCTCAGACAACTGGAAACATATTTTAAAATATGTTCCTTCTTCACAAAGACAACCCTGTTCATTCTATTTGGATTTACTGTACTGTACTCCCAACTCAAACCAACAAGACACAGATCCCATATTCCATGAAATAATGATACTGCCACACATGATTAAGATTCATCATATCCTCTCTGAAGGTCCTGTAGGCCACCATATCTGACCTAAGTGTTCTTTTTACTTGTTCAACATTAATTTATCTCATAGCCCACACTTCATCAATTTCATTTGTTTTTGTGAAAATAAGTTTCTTTTCCAGTCTATTATAGCAACTTCCACGTATTATCCATTCTCCTACAGTTAATCCTGTATCATAATCCTTTCCCTTTTGAGACCTTCCACTAAAATAGCTTCTTTTACTCTTTAGATTACCTGAATCTGCTTTCAACCTTTAGGCATCCATTCCTATTAGGTATGCATTTGAAAGAACTCTAAACTTAAATTTATTAGAATATTAATTCATTTGAAGGATTAGAAGAAGCTTTATAAATAAGTAATTCAGAGATTTCATACTGCCTAAGTATGCCCTCCCACACCACTGAAACAGTCTGAGATTAGGTGGACAACTTATGTTGGCTACATAAACATTTTCATTACTGTTTTTCCACCACCTCAGTTCAGAAAACCATTGTAAATTTTTAAGTTAAAAAAAATTAAGAGACACAGAACCAAAAGATGGTATCTTGAATGTGAATACAAGAGATGGTATCTCGACTGTCTAAAAATCTAAAAACATTACAAACTGTCAATTAAAATCTAACTGAAAATTACACTTTCCAAGTTTGTGGTCTTTTATTTCCCTCAGGATTTGTACTCTGTGATTGATTTAAATGACTTACACCTCATGGGTGGGTAGGGGGGTGAATTTTACAGGAAAAAAAAAAAAGTGAAGCCAATTATTTCTGAGTAATTTTCTAGACTCATTTAGAAGAAAAATGATGTGTTATATTGAAGAAATGATTATAAGGATATCGGGATTTCAGCTACTCATTCATGTTTGGATATAAGCAAGATACAAGTATTTATTGACCACCTATTGTGTGCTTTGTAATGCGGTAGGTCCCTTCTGGAAGTTTGGTGTCAGCATTATGTTTTATCATTACAGTTTGTTAATTTTTATAAATTATGTAATTACTTTGAGTTTTATCATCTGTAAAAAATGAACAATATCTATTTTTCTGATTTGCTGTACAGATTAAATGAGATGTAGTAACTTCACCTTCAAAAAAATATTACTTCCCTTCTCTCTGTAGGTCCCTCTACAGATTAGGACATTGATCAGTGGTTTTCAACCTTACTATGAAAAATCTCTTTTCTCCACAGATTCAACATCTTTATAGACTTTTGTCTATTAGTTGCACTGACATTTAATTAACTGGATAAGAAGAGCTAATCAGAAATCTCAAAACTGTCAAAGACATAGATATTAATGAAACTCAATGTTAGGTTCTTGAGGTACCAGCATGATGTCTTATTTCATTAACAGCTTGCAAATCACAATATATGATAATGATTTGTGATAATTAGCCACAAAGATCTGAGTTGATATAATTATTGGTCAAAGCAAAGATATATAATATTTTACCTTTAAATCTATTGTGAGAACATATATAATTTTCATTAGGCTTTTTACAATACTGAGAATAATTAATTCCTTTCTCTGCAGACCACTGAGAGAAACATAATTTATGTATCATGTTAGTGATTTTGTCTAGAGAAACTACTGGTTACCCTACTGATTTAAGCCAGTATCACCAGTAACACCAACTTTAAATTCAAAAGTTACACGTTATTTATCCATAAAGGTAAGTATGTAGTGATATCCTGGGTCTTCCTTTTGTATTTATAGGAACAAAACCCAAGTGCTTCACCAAAGACCTATGTTGATTTGTCTCCGGGCAACCCCATTTACCAGTCTCTTCTCAGCTTATCAGGACGGCTTTCTCAACTACAACGTGGGGCTTCTAACTTAAGGGCTTTTGTACTAACTGGGCCCGCTGCCTGGTTCACTCTTCCAGCAGATCATACATCTAGCTTTTTGTCATTCAGGTCTCAAAACAAGTATTAACAGCTGAGTCTTCCCTCAACACTCAATCTAAAGCTTCTTCATGGCATTTGTGACTTCTGAAATTATCTTGTTCACTTATTTACCATCTCTCCACCACCACCAAACCCCACTTGTATAAAGAGTTCCATGACAGCAAGTCTTATTCATTGCTCTATCTCTAGTTCCTAGAACGGTACGAGGCACCCAATAATCAAGCAATAACTATTTGTTGGATCACTAACCAAAATGTTTAAGAATGTTTTGGGGAAAAACCGATTTCTTAGTCAACAACGTATATTTAGCATTCAAAATTGCTAACCCAAAGGAAGTAAGAAAAAATGTTTTTGACTAAAAGAATAAGAAAAATGTATACAACATTCTATTCAACAAGTGAGCTTCATTTTCTTTTATTTCTATCCTTTTGGATAGACTATGAAAATCTATTAATGTTTCATACACTTCGTATGTCACCTCATATAAAAAGAAAATGAATATTTTTATTTCAGTTTTACTGAGGCATGTAATGTATAAAATTGTGAATTTTCTTATAATTGTATGCCATGGACTAACAGCCACTCAATCTAATACCTTATTTTTCCTGCCAAGATGCAAGCAGGACAGCTTCTAAGAATGTAAAACATACTGACTGGGAAGCCAGAGTTGCAGTAACAGTGACAGTGCCAGAAAGGCCCAAACCAGGGAAGCTCTTGCTCTCAGCTATGAGGGGAACAAGGGAACAACAGAGTGATCAGACCCAGGGGAATAACTGTAGCTCTGATTCCTGTTAACAAACAGAAATATCTTCAAACCAAATCAAAAGAGATTCAACTGGAATCTTATAGTTCAAGACATTAAATATCTGTTTTGAATACCTGAGGTCTCTTTAGCAAATGAAGTATCATTCAGTTGACAAGATATGGGCTTTTGCAGTTTCACATAAGAAAAGCACAGTATTTGTAGTAAGTAACACACACAACCCCAATACTATGTGCTACATTTGCTTACTAACTTAAAATATTTTTAAGAATACTTTTAAAAGCAAGAGATTTAAATGAAAATAACTAATAATAAAGATTTTCTTTCTGAGTTTGGAAAATATTTGAAAACTAAAAGAAACATTAAAGAAAGATAAAACAACTCACTAGTTTAAAAAATGCAAACACCTTGAAAGTATCACAAACCCACGTATACTTTTTAAAAATCGGGTGTTGCTTCTTTTCTCAACTGGCAGTATTAAAGGAAGACAGCAACCAGAAAATTCACAACCCATGTGAGTTTACTTACCAGGCACAAAGAAACATTAATATCAGTCTGTAGGCTAACCTGCTTGCTTATTATTCAGCCAAGGGGAAAGTACAATTTAGCATGGAGCTAGAGCCAGGTACCAAAATGACTAAGAATGGCACACGTAAACTTTTTTTTTTTTAATTAAGAAACTAAAGAGGAGAGAAGTATTAAACGTAGGATTTCCTCTGAAGATCACATACTCAATTTTCTATTTTTCATTGCTCCATATTTCACTGGCAATATTCTAAGCTGCTTAACAAGAAGCCTCTATTTCACTTTTCATCACTTCTGCTCACATAGCTGATGCTTCCAAAGTCCAGTGCATGGACAAATGCTCAAAAACACATGCAGAATTTAACCTTACAGTGAAGTATTTTAAGATAATACCTCCAGAAATAGAATGTCTAAAACTGAGGAGTCTTTGTTAACAACTCAAAATGCTAAATAAATAACATTTCTGCAGACTATGCATTTGTCGAAGAGCATAAGCACATATTTTTCACAGATCAAATAATAGGAATCTTTTACCCTTCAATTAAAAAAAAAAGTAGCAACAACCGAAGGACAGCTAGTCCTATTTTCTCAGTGGTTCCTAACTCCATGTGGCCTATCCCTTAGGCTCAGACTATTTCTTTTGAATTTCATCTCCAAACTGAGTACACTTAAAGACCCAGAGACTTTGACAATGACTCCCAGCAACTCTCCCCAAAACCTACCCTCTTGTTATTAAGCCAGTCTCCTTGCCCTCAGTCTCTTTCTTCCTCGATTCACTCATACTTTGTAGCCAAATTCATCTTCAAAAAGATGAATGCTCTGACTAGGTCATTTTCCTTATGTCAAAACTTCTTGTGCTCTTGAATAAAAGTCTATATTTCTCAACCTAGCATTCGATGACTTCTACAGTCTAGCCCAACAAATCTTTATAGTCTTATCACCATATTTTCTAATTATACAAGTTCAGGCTTCTGTCAAATCAATCCCCTGTCCTTCAACTTGTCCTGAACTTTCTATCTTGGCTCATGCCATTCCTACCATAAAGAATGTCTACCACTCCCCTCCAGCTGCCACTGCTCATTGCCTTTTGCATCCCTGCATTTATTCATGTAAACAAGGACACACAAATGATATCTGCCCTACCCCCCATAAGGGCAACCCCCACCCCAAATTTACAATAACTGGCTCTTATTAAATGCCTACTATGTGCCAAGCAGTCAGTTTTACATATTATTTCTAATCCTCTCAACAAAATCATGAAGTAGGTATTATTATTCTCCTTGTAAAGATGAGAAAGCCAAAGTTCAGAAACATCAAATATTATACTTAGTAAGTCATCACACATTATATACTGAGTATGTTGCCTCAAATCATAGACTTAGTAAGTGGCAAAGCAAGGACTTGAACCCAGGCTGCCTAAGTCCAGAGACATTGCTCTAAACCCTCTGTTGGTTGGTTTTGTTTTGTTCTGAACTATGTGACTACCCCCTTCATCTATCTGAAATCATTTAGTTTTACATGGTATCTCCACTTACTACATACTAAACAATAAGCTTTCTCATGTTTGCCAGTTTAGGAAAGGGAGAACATTAAAATGCTACTTCTTTCCAATAAAAGAACAGTGCTCAAATTGCAACTTCAAGGAATGTCTTTTTTTGTCACAAAGATTATTTTCACCTACAATATTTTCAAAGAAATTCATTCCAACCAACTTTTTCAAAGATGACTGCAAATTACCAATCATACACTATGATGGTTTTACAGATTATTAATAATAAGAGGATTTTGCAATTACCACCCATGTATTGTAACAGATATCTATCAAATTGGCAAAGATTGTAAAAACTGACCTACTCAATGCCATTGAAGGTGCAGTGAGACACACACTCTTATACACAGGGTAACCACCCTCTGATCCAGTTATCCCACTTCTGGGAATCTATCCTAAAGGAAGAAAAAAAAAACAGAGATGCAATCAAAGATAAATGTACAAAAATGTTTGCCCCAGTGTTATTTAAAATAGTAATATTATAAAGAATCAACCTAAAAGTCCCAAATTAGGAGACCAATATCCTGTTTAGAGAAAAACGCAGGCACAAAACAGTATATATAAAAATACAATTCCATTAAAAAAAAAATCTGTACATGCAAGGAAACAACTAGAAAAATGTATTTTAAAATGTCAGTAGTAATTATTTCTGGGTGATAGGTTTATAGATGATTTTCAATTTCTTCTTTACATTTATGTTCTTTTCAAAATTTGCCACAATGGAACATGAATTACTTTAAACAAGAAAAAAAAAATGTAAGCAGCTATAGTCACTGAAAATGATCCTGAACCTATAAAGGCATGTTACTTGGAAAAGAAACATTTCCCAGTGCAAGAAAATGTCAAACCTGCTTCGTTTCCACAACCTGTTAGCTCACACTTACTTTCAGACTGTGTAAAGAATGTCACCCAAAATTCAGTGGTATTCATGAAATTGCACAATGCTCACTATCTAAAAGTCAGCCAATGCTTCAACAGAAAGCACCACAATTAAATGAATTGTTTTATTGTATGTCTATTGAGAATAATAAATATCCAATTAATCCTAACTCAAAACATGCAAAAGGAAAAAACCAGAAAAAGTATTTTTGTTCTGCAAATTAACTATGTATACTCTTGTTGCCTTATAAGCCCAGCATAGTTAGGTCTGGAGTGGGGAGGAACTTGAAAATAAAGCTGGCAAGCTACCAATATTCACTAAAAATGCACATAGATGCATTTTTTTCTACATGCACATTTCTGTCCTAGGGCAGAGTTAACTTTAGTGGCAAAAGATGATTTTTATCAGCACAGAAAAAAAAATTAAGCTGTTCTACAAAAAAACAAAAGCACAACAACAAAGAAACCTTCTTATATTAAACACAGAATTAAAATTGCCAGCTGAACCAGGTGCGGGGGGGGAGGGGGGGGGGGGGGGGAGTCCCTACCTTTGGCATATATGCAGAACAGCAATTTGCCAAAACAAAAACAAAAGCAAAAACAAGTCTCGAATTGAAGTAAAACAGTCATTAAGCAAAAAATTCTTATTTTACTGTATTTTAAACCAGGAAACTTGTTTGCTTGTTAATACTAAAATGCTGTTAGAAAATAAAGTCGTGGGGGGGGGAATAGTATCACAGAAATAGTCGTTGAGTAAGTAAGAGAAAATTTAAAGTATTACATTGATGTTACTTAGAAAATGAGTATCATTCTATTTCCATTCTACCATGAAAATACAACATTTATTTATAAAACATATGTCAGGTTCTGGCAAACAAAATAAATTACTAGACTATAAATCCCTTATAATAGAAGCTGCAGTCTCACATCTCAGTTTCCATCAAAGAACCTAATATTGGGTCATGCGAACATCTGTTCAATGACTGAATCTGAAATCTATTAATAAAATCATGCAACGTTTTTACATGCATTCAATGGAATGGAAAAGGTAGATCAAAAGACATCAAAGATTTGGGATAGATACTGAAAACTACATAAAATCCAAAGATTAGTGTTAAATTTCAACTGCTAAAACAATAAAGTTATGGTTGCTTGCTTAATGTTTTATAATAAAGCCAACTTGTCTAGAACAGAATGAGCCCGTTTATAAATGAATTTTTAAATATCATTGAAAATACAGTGTATGCATTTACTCTTCAGATTATACATCTGACTGATCTGAAATGTTCAGTCTGCAATAGGAGATAATTTCCTACTCCTAACTTAGAATCTTACAAGCCACATTTGGGATTTGGCCAAAGAAACAACTGCACCCAGTTCTTTGTGCCTCTCTTACTTTTACACTTCTGTGGTTGATAACTAAACCACAGTTCTATCCTGAGCAAAGCTATTTCTCACAACCAGAATAAATGTGTACAGCACAGCACTGCAAACAACCATGAATGTTATAGGTATATGTACTTGTGAATTCAAAGTAACTTACTTCATGCTTTACTTAATCCAACAGTATCTTTTACCAATTACAGTGTATAGTTTAGCATATTCCTATTCTTATAAAATATGGACTAACTTAAATATATCCTAAAACCAAACACAGGGTTATATATTTAATTCCAAATTTGGTTGACGTTATCATTCTATAATTTGAACCAATCTCTAGCAATGGAGACTACATAGGCTAGAGACAGAAAACTGGGTATGCAAGAAATTTTTTTCCAGATTTATCTGGAATTAGCCTAAATAAATAAGTCATCTGTACCTTTATTAAAAAAAAAAAAAAAACAACCATTAACTTGTCTACTAACTGAAGTTTATTTCACGAAACACACCTAATCCTCTCTGCGCATATCATGTATTTCTGAAAACCATATTAAAACCATTATTTTTAGACTATTTACAAAAGTACATTATCTTTTGTTTCAACTCCACCTTAATCATCACACACAATTTTCCTTTTCTTATTGGTGCATGCAAGTACCTTCTACGTCTAAAAGGCCTATTTTCAAGTGTAAAGGAGAGCACCGCACAGTTCTCTGCTGAACTGCTTTGTTGATCAGTACATCATAAGCTAAGCTTATAGGTCCAATACTCTTCTGGATCATTTAACTTTGAAACAAACTGGCCTCTTAACCACTCATCTCAAAACTGTAAGAAGGGGACTGTAAAGAGTATATGAATCATTCAGTGTCCTTAACCACTATTAAAAAAATTCATAACCTGAATGGGGCAATATTATCTTTGTACATGAAAGACTGAAAAGCACAAGAAAACTACCACTTGTAATCCCCAAATTTCACGCACAGGAAAAGGGGGTGGCGGGTAGTGGATGCTTCATCTCAGCAACATAAGAAAGCTTAAATAATTTATGTTTAACACTAATCACTTCCATAGGATGTGAATTTGGCATTAAGTCATGCAGCAATATATGACATCAGAACGGACAGAAAATACTTGAAAATATGCCATAACTCTTTTTAAAATTAATGAGTTTAATCTGAAAAGGAACATCAGGAGGAAGTAAGATGATGTTCACAAATTTAAACTCACCACAACATTAATATATAAACACTTTATACAAATTTTTAAACTGAATTTCTAAAATAAGAGAATTTTACAACTGGGAACTTAAAGGTTATTTGAGGTTCAGTGAACATCTATCTGCTGGATCCCTAGCATGTGTCAGACACAGTGCTAGGTGCTTGCAGGTAACTCAATTATTCAACTCACTCACTTTAGAGATGGTGGAGTTCCCGGCTCCTGCCAAATCAAGCCATCTAAATTTCAGAACCAGAAATGCTGAGCAATGCCCTCACGGTAGTGAAATTTCTATCAAAACAGACCTGTATCATTCTCCCTTATAAACTAAATAAAATGTCAAAGATGCAATGCTAACCTTATTTAATAAGAGTCCCCGTGTTTTGAATAATTATAAAGAATTACAACAAAATTCAACTAAGTACTTAGTTGCATAATTTATTCCAAAGAACAAAACATGGGGCTGTCAGTTATAAGATTCTAAAGACATACAAAACAGAAATTAAATAAATACAGATATGATTTAAAAATTCCTTTGTAAAAAAAAAGAAATTATCAATATGAAAAATTAGATGCTTGATTGGAATGTCTATTTTATATAAAAGATCATCAGTCATATAATAACAAAGTTCATGGACGGTAGTAAACTTGGGCAAGGCTGTAAAGTTATTTGACTATTAGATTCTGAATTAGGACAGAATGTAGAAGTTCCTGAGGACAAAGACCCTGTCTAATTCATCTCTGTATCCCCAACAATTAGCACTCTATTTTTAAATGTTGGAGAGGTGAACTAACATAAGAACTCTAAACTCAAGCAATTGGAAAATTCAACCTAACATTCTAGAAGGTTTTTCTTTTATAACTCAAATGATTTCTTCAAGTATTAAATAATACTCAACTCAAGTCACATTGCCTTAAACTAGATCAAAAACTGTGGCTATCACTTTAACTAGTACAACATACCTCACTGAAGGAATTCACAGATACATCAAGAAGACAAGTAAATTCATACACTTTGATTCAGCAGTCCTTCCTCTGGAAATCAATCCCAAGAATACACGCCAAAAGAATATGTTGCATACACAAAAGTATTCACTTCATTGTAATTTTAGTAGGGGAAGCAGAAACTACCTAAAAGCCCAGCAACAGGTAGATGGACTATTTTGCAACATCCGAAAAAGGCTTAACATAAAGATTAGCCTCCTAATTGGTCTTCCTGCTTACACTCTTGGGCCACCCCAACTCCCCACCAAGCTGATTTCCACACAGCAGCCAGAAGGATTCTCACAAACTCTTCTACTTAAAATCTTCCAATAGTTGATTGGTAATTTCATTTGAAGTAAAATTCAAAGTTCTTACCATGACCTACAAGGCTCAGTTACTTCTCTAACCTAAAGCTCTCTCACTCCCTCTTGCTTACTGTCCTCTCAAAAGGCCAAGTACTCGGAGAGGATCTTTGCACTTGCAGTCCTCTCTGCCTATAATCTTTCCCAAGAGAGCACACCTAACTCACCTTCTGCAGAGATATACACCTAACTCACTTCCTTCAGGTCCCTGCTCCAGTCACATGTCTTCTCTCTTTCCCCTCACACTACTTTATCATCTAACATATTCTGCATTTATTTGGTTATGGCTCACCTCTCCTGATGAGAATATAAGCTCTCTGACAACAAGAACTTGATTTTATTCACACAATAGGCATTCAAAAAGCATTTGTTGAATTAGTATTAAATGTTGATACAATAATTATTAACTACATGAAAAATCATGCATATAAACAAGCTCAGAAGAGAACAGGAAAAATGAATAGTTTGATTTGTGAACGTTTTCAAGCTGATCATATTACTAAGGAGTTTGTACAATAAAAATTCTAAGTCTGTTGTGATTATGATTTTAGGCTGCCAAAAGTAACTACAACAATCTTATTTCCTTGGAAGCCATTAGTATATTAGCTTAAAACTGGCTGGTAGTAGTTATTAGTGACAAGTTTTCCTCATAAAATTGTAGTAACAATTACTCTTAAATCTTGTTCCTAGAGACCCAAAGTTTAGTCTGGTAAGTATCGACACTGTTATTCTTGAGGCCACACAGAAAGTGAACAAAGCCTTTTAAACAGTTTTAATATGGAACTGAATAATACTCAGGGATTCCAGTTTGCTTTTCAAACAGGTATCTATGCTTGGCTTCAGAGTGATCCTGAAACTGAATGCAAAATTTTGTGCATAAAAGTCTATTACTTTTTTTTTTCCTGAGGAGAGAGACTACATATTTCATCATAATCTCAAAGGTGTCAGTGGCCTAGAAAAGGTTAAGAATTACTATTTTATATTGGAAGTAAAGTAGAATATTCTAATGTAAGCCACCTCTCAAAAGGACAGAAGATACATAGTATCTAGCCACATCTTCGTAATCACTCAACTCATCCACAAAATATCAACTGCCTACCTTGTGCCAGGCAGGTGTGATCCTCAATACCTCACATCTAATCATATTTTGCAGTACATAATTGAAAATACCAAGGAAACAAGGTTCAGTGAAACACCAGACTAAAAAGTAATTTCAACCAATGCAAATATAATTTCGAAACAGAAAGTGTTACAAGAAATCATAGTAAAGACAGAAAGGGGCACCAGGCCTCATTTAGTGTTTATTATGTCAAAATACTGCAGATATCAATTACATCAAAAGGAAAGAAAAACTACACATACGCATGCCCGCCTCCACACACTGACAGGAAACCAGAAGAAAGTTTCCAAATCCTGTTTCCAGCAGCATCCCTTCTGAGACTGGGCCTGCAGAATGCTTTTGAAGGTAGGCGCCCCACGATAAAACTATAAGCTGCTACTTTACTCTTACTGTGATAAAAACAGAAAGAATCATCATCCCACACCCAGGAAGCAGAAAACTGTGGCCACCTGTAAGGCTGTGGCCCATTAACCTCCTGCCCTGATATTCCTTTTTTTCTCCTCCCTTCAAAGCAGTGACAAAACCATCTTCCCTCCCAAAAAAGGAATACATAACTCAATGTTAGTTCTTTTTTCCAAGAGGTTAAAAGGTCGTCCAAACTCCTGGCACTTAGCCCTGTGAGAAGATCTCATTTTTCGGGCACAAGTGTCTTCCCTCACCTTCTCCCCGTAGCAGTAGATTACACAATTCCGCTGAAGACACGGTCCTTAACTTACTGACGGGGACAAGCGACACTCCTACCAGCCCCAGTCTGAAGGAAGCCAACACGGTGACCCCTTCCCTAGCAAAATTCAGGGAAGCAGCAGAGACCCAAGAAGAGCAACGCTGAAAAGGCGAACACATGGCAAGCTACGGAAGACGTGAGGGAAAGAGGGCGGGAAAGGGGCTGGGAGGTGGAGTGGTATGTAGCGATGTCAGCCCTCTGCACTGGGGGAATAAAGGAAGGAGAGGGAGACCCTGACCCTGACAGAAGTGAAGGCAGAGAGAACAACCCTCCCGTGTACCCGCACCTTCTCTAGCACAGGAGGGCAGAAAATTCTCCCAACCCTCCAGCCCCCTCTTCGCGTGACCCTCAATGGGAGAGCTGGGTTTGCGGGAAGGTCTGACCCTACTCTGGGGACATGCAAGAAGGGGGAAAAGGCAGTGATGTCCAGTCCTCTGCATCTCTCGGACAGTGAGTGGCGAGGGCACTGTGTCCGAGGAGACGGCGAGGGAAACAGGCTTGTACCATGACACCTCGGGGAGTTGGGAGGGTGGGGGGACACAATGTCCTCTTTCTCTCCCACACCCGGCCCGGGCCCCTCCCGTCCGTCTCCCGCAGGCCCAGCCACAATCGACCGGCTCGGTCCGCGGGCGTGGTTGGCTCTGGCTCTGGCCCTGGCGGCGGCGACAGGGCCTCCCGGAGCCCCGGCCCCTCCCGCCGGCCAGGCCCCCGGGCCGCCGCCCCGGACACCGAGGGAACGCGGAGGAGGAAGGGGGAGCCAGGGGACTGACCGGCGACATGAGCCGCCTCAGCCCTGGCTCGGCCGACCCGCGCCCCCAGCTCCCTCTGGGGCCGACTCGGGCTCCCCGCCCCTCACTCACCCCCCCGGTCCGGCGCCTCCTCCACCTCCTCCTCCACCTCCTCCCTCCTCTCGGCCGTGGCTCCTGCTCCGGCTCTGCGCGGCGACGACGGCGGCGGCAGCAGCGGCGGCGGCGGCCTCGAGAGCGGCGGCGGCGGCGGCGGCGGCGGCGGCGCCTCCAGAACGCGCACGCACGCAGCACGCAGGCTCCGCCTCCAGTTCCGCTCCGCCCCTCCGAGTCCGCGCTGGCAAGCCTTCGGCCCCGCCTTCCCCGCGGCTTTCCGGAGTCCGCTTAAAGGAGCCGCGCTGAAGAGGATGGTGAGAACTGAGAAGCTCGTGGGAGGAGCGGGGTTTGGGGGCCTTGCGGAGGGCTGGGTGGGAGGCTGCCTAAGGCGAGAAACGAAATGAGGAAGGTTCCGAAAATTCAGGAGGAATAAAATTTTGGAGGGAATGAAATCATTCAACAAGTGCTAATTGAGCACCTAGTAAGTGCCAGACGCTGTTCTGGGTTCAGGGGATAACCCCATAGGCAAGCAGAGGTCCTCGTGACGCTTGAATTCTGGTGGGGTGGGAGAGAAGAGACAGAGAACAAACAAGTAAACAGTAATTTCAGGTAGTGATAAGTTGTGTGAAGAAAAATAAAGCCAGGAATGGGGTGACTTTATAGCTGGCCAGATACTGCCCCGCAGAGGAGACCTTTGAGCACCTATCATATACATAGGATAGGAAGGAATGAGCCTAGCAAATACCAAGGGTGTGTGTGTTGGTGACAGGGCAGATAGTAGGGGGGTGGTTGGCGGGGACAGCCTTTCCAAGCTGAAAGATAATCACCCATAAATGAGCGGTGAGAATAATACACGTGCTAGATTGCAGGAACAGCAAAAGGCCAGTATGGCTGAATGGAACCAGCTAGCCAGAGAGCAGCGGTAGTGAAGCTGAGAGGTGTGGAAGAACTAAATCCTGTGGAGCCTCCTGGGCTGTCCTAAGAGCCACTGAAAGCCGTGGGAGGGTGAGCACAGGAATGACCACATCTGATTCACATTTTTAGAAGTTACTCTTGCTAATATGTGTAAAATACACAATAGGGAAGCACAAATGTCCACAAGAAGACCACAAAGGATGTTGTTGGTGGTAATTTAGAATAGGATGGCACCAAAGGAGTGAGGCGGCTATTCAGATACATTTTGAATTGGAATGGATTTGGCAAGAAGCGTGGGAAGGAACAAACATCATGGATGATTCTTAGATTCAGGTCCTGAAGGATGGGTTAATGGTGGTGCTGTTACAAAAGATGGGGAAGACTCAAACAGAAATTTGGGGATGGGGGAAATCAGGAGTTCTGTTTTGTACATGTTATACTTCCTGGTTATACATCTACATGGAATGTTGAGTACAACGTTTTATATCCAACAACAGTTGGATATAAATTTGGGATTCATCAGCCCACAGATGCTTTTTAAGCCTGAAGTCTACATAAAAGCTCTTAAGGAGGGAGAGTAGCTGGAGTAGAGGACTAAGAGGAATCCAACACTTGGAGATTAAGTAGAAAAGGAGGAGGAGCTACCAGTCAGATCAAAGGACTACTAGGAAAGGGTGAGTGACCGAAGATAAGAGAATTGTTTCTTGATGGTGGGAGTCATCACTCTTATCAAATACTGCTGAAACAACTAAGCTGAGGACAGAGTTTGAACACTGGATTTGGCCAAATGAAGGTGACCGATGTCCTTGATGAAAGCAGTTTTAATGGTGTCGTAGGGGAGAAAGTCTGATTAGGGTGTGTTAACAAGAGCATGGGAAGTGAGGAAGAGAGTGTTTATAGCAAGTCTAAACATCTCTTGAGGGTTTGCTGTAAAGAGCAACTGAGAAAAGGGTAGTAGCCCCAGGAGTATTTGGGATAGAGGGAGAGTATTTTATTTCTTTTATTTTTTGAAGACTTTATTTATCTATTTGAAAGAGAGAAAGAGAGAGAGAGACAATGAGAAAGAGAGCATGAGAGGGAAGAGGTCAGAGGGAGAAGCAGATTCCCTGCCAAACAGCGAGCCCGATACGGGACTCGATCCTGGGACCCCAGGATCATAACCTGAGCCTAAGGCAGAGGCTTAACCAACTGAGCCACCCAGGCACCCCAAGGGAGAGTATTTTAAAATTGGAGATGTTCCTTTGTTGGTATGTTGGACCAATTTAGAGTGGTAAATGTGTTGGAACAGAAGACAAGAGGAGACGAGTGGAGAAAGATTGTCCTCAAGAAGATGAGAAGCAGTGAGACCTAGCGTATAAGTGAAGGGGGTGGCCTTGGATAGGAGCCAAGGACAGTATGTTCACACACTATTTGGGGGCAGAAGGCAAAGTCTGAGGGTGCAAAAGCAGGTAGGTCAGGTGGAACATTTGGTGATGGCATGCTCAGGCCACTGTGGAGCAGAAGGGGACAGACAGGTGGGAGCTAAAATCCATCCCCTGTTCTCCCCACCCAGCTGTGAGCTACATCCACCTGGAGGAAGGGGGGGCACCTTTTGTAATTACTCCACCTGGAGGAGTGGTGCCTTTTAGCCATCCTCCCCACCCTCCTACACATACACACACTGTGCACATTTTCCCAGGTTGTACAGAGTACTGTATGTGCTGACTACCTCACTGGGTCTGAGGAGACAGAGCTGGGCTGCATGCTTTCCTGTACTCTATGCATGAAGGACTGTAAATGGGGAGGGGCTGTTGGCTATTTAAGGAGCTAGAAGCAGTTGAGCAAGAATTCCCCTGAAAAGTGGAAGAGTTACTAGAGAAGTATAGTATGGACAGCACTGAGGGCCTTCTTGAGCTGGTGGTCCTATGTTAAAAGTGAGACCATTCAGCAAGGTTGTGTGCTCTTCTCCAGCCACATGCTATTTCTTGGAGGACTGTAGAAGGGTTGGACTTGACCAGGGCTGGGTTTGCTGATGAAAGTCAATGAGGGGGTAAGGGAGTCTTCACCAGGGAGTGGTTATAGTGGCAGACCTTGGAATCTCAACTGGGAGGGGAGAGAGGCAAGTAAAAAACGGTGGGGTCAATGGTTTGGTGTTGCCTGTGAAAAAGAATAGTTCAGGAGGAAGAAGTCAAATAAGTGGGGAAAGGGGACTTTCCAAGGATCAAGCATGGGGAAGGGTGAGTGAGGTGGTTGGGAAAGAGGAAGCCAAGGCATCTATGAGAAAAATGGGTTCAGGGAGGAGCCATGGAACTGAGGAACCAGCGGGGCCTTTGGGCTCTTGCCCTTGTCACAGCATTCTTGAGCCGTTGATCTGGGGGAGGTTAAGGGAGCTGCACGAGCTGGAGAGAAACTAAACGCAGCAGGGGATAAGCCAACTGGACCCTGCCAGGGCCTCTCTACAAGCCTTAGGGGAGCCCACTGAGGCCTTTACTTTACCTTTCTTTTTTTCCTCCCACTGAGAACACCCATGCATTTGTGTCCACACTTTATTCTACCTGGTGTTCGACAGAAACTAAATGACATCTTTGCTCCTAAATCCTTCTCCTGATTTCCCCTTTTCTCTTCATGACACTACCTTTCTCAGTTACTCAGCTACCAAGCCTCAGCTGCCTGCAATCTTCCCCTTCCCTGTGCCCCGTCAGTCCCCAAAGTGTAACAGTCTGCACCATCCTATGGAACATTCTGCCATGTTCTTTACGTAGTCTGGTGCACTAGCCCCATGGCTACGGAGCCCTTGAAATGGGGCTAACACAACTGAGGAACTGGATCTTCAATCTTTTTTTTTTTTTTAAGATTTTAATTATTTATTTGACAGAGATCACAAGTAGGCAGAGAGGCAGGCAGAGAGAGAGGGGGAGGCAGACTCTCCGCTGAGCAGAGAGCCCGATACAGGGCTCAATCCCAGGACCCTGGGATCATGGCCTGAGCTGAAGGCAGAGGCTTTAACCCACTGAGCCACCCAGGTACCCCTGGATCTTCAATCTTATTTAACTTGAACAAATTTAAATTAGACTGAAATAGGCACATATGGCTGGGGGCTCCTGTATCGGACAGACGGGTGGGTAAAGGTCCTTCCTATACGACATCTCTTCCACCTCCCGCTCCTCTCTCCCTCTGCTGCCATGACTGATTACCCCCAGTCCAGACTTTCCTGTAGTCTCCTCTTTGGCCTCCTGCTTAGTTCCTTTCCCCTACATCCATCCTGTGTTCTTGCCAGAACCACCTCTCTAAAGCAGTGGCCAAATCAGGACTCCACCCTATTTTTAAAATTATCCCCATTTCTCCATCAATTTCAAACTGGCGTTTGCCCAGGAATGTGGCTCCATCCCACTTTTCTGGACTCATCTTGCTGGACACCCTTATTTAGAAAGAGCTGGTTCTCAAGCAAACTTGAACTACTAGCTGTAGTTCCTACAGACTTCTCACAAAGGAGCCAACACCCTGGCCTATATTGTCTCTACCTGGAGCAATGCCTTCCCCACATCCCCTCTTGCAGTCCCCAACTCTGTTGAAATCCTGGAACCTTTTCTGATTTTCCTTCTCCTCTAAAATCCCATAGTTTCTTTTTTCACCTCACCTGTGACACTGACACGCTGTCTTGCCCTATGTTTCGTGCAGCCATTTTATACCCATTACTAAATATCCCTTCTTGTAGATTACTGTATGTTAATTACATTAGTGCTCCGGTCAGCCTTGCAGCTCGTACCTATGAGATACTCCTCAACCAGCCAGTGGATTGAGTTGTACACTTTCATGGAATCTGAAGAGCATTTATGCCTCTATCTCTGAGTACCATCACCAACTCTCAAAGAGAATGTCCTTATATCCTGGGAGAAACAAAAAAGGGCAAGAAGCAGAAGAAGCCGAAAAGTAATTATTTCCTGGCACTCCTGTTACAATTGAGAATGTCTTAAGTCGGAACGCCAGGTTTGGGGCAGCACTCTTAGAAATTTAGAAGCAATGAATGAAAGAAGAAGAATCAACAGGGAAAAGGTGAAGTGGGGAACAGCTTTTGAAACAGATCATAATCATGACACAACTGATAGGCAGTTCTTGGAGGATGCTAGAAACAGCATGGAGGTAGAGGAGTCTTTGCTCCGGGAGATGGATGTCCCTGGAGTTGCTCGTGACAACGATCTCACCTACAATC